CCTGAAATGGACTGTTTTTTAAAAAAGAAAAAGAGCCAAATTTTCTTGCACACCGTCTACTTCTTAGGTGCAACTGGAAACAGTGGAGTGGGCACCAGTATTAGGACCCAGAATCCCATGAATTGAAGTTGAATAGCATGGTTTTATTTTTAGGGAAACTAAACAGCTGTTTGCTGACGTTTTTATACGACATTTTATTCAAATCTGTTTTGTTGGTGACTCACACTAGAGCAGGGGCGTCCAACTGCAGGCCTTGAGGGCCGGTGTCCTGCAGGTTTTAGATCTCACCCTGGGTCAACACACCTGAATCACATGAGTAGTTCGTTACAAGGCCTCTGGAGAACATCAGGACATGTTGAGGAGGTCATTTAGCCATTTGAATCATCATCAGTTGTGTTGGATCAAGGACACATCTAAAACCTGCAGCTCGAGGCCTGGAGTTGCCCAGCCCTGCTCTAGAGTAAAAGTAGACGGCAACATCCTTGCAGCAAGGAAAACTTGGTGGTTGTATTGAATCTTTTCACATTTGGTGACCAAATACTTGTGGAGACCAACTACTACCCAGAAGTTGAGAAATCAATGTATGTGATTGCAGGATGACAATCTGTCTTCAAACAATCTGGACTGACTACAATCACTCTCAGACATATAAACAGACAGATTATTAAAATGGTGCAATCAGTCTGAGTCGGTGAGTGCAACTTGTTTGTGATGTGTCTCTTTGCAATAGGGGACTCGCCTCCTCTGGTTGCAGGCTGGTGGTATTCCAATATAAGAGTAAGGTTGCTGAGCAGTTATACCTCCATCCTGCTGCAACTGCGTCACTGCTTGTGTTGTAATTTCTGTGTCAACTGTTACGTTTTTAATGTAAGTAGTTTGCCAGTTACAGACAAACAACTTGGCAGCAACTGGCAACTAGACTGCATAGTCAAACTGATAGGAGACAGACTCCATCTTATTGCTGTTTTACTGTCATGTTGATGCACCAAAGCTGTTCTGAAGACCGCAGCTAACTGCAAGTGGTCGCAGAGCTGGACCCATCCTCAAACCGATCATCAACAAGACTGCAATTTTACTGCACACGGTC